AGATTGAAAAGACGTCGAGGCCTCGGGTATAAATGGTCGAGGGTCGATGCACTAGTGTCGGGGCTCTGGGTATAAATGGTCAGGGGCCGACACTAACAACAGAACGGTCTTGGAAAGCTTGGATGGATGAGATGAACTTAGAGTTGCCTAAAGTGCTAGGGTGCCATGTGGACTGTAGTTGATTTGTTTACGATTGTGGTTAGCATCGGGTTATATAGAACACGTTTATGATTGAATGTATGATGTCATTGTGGAGCATGTCTATAGTTGTTCGCATACTGTAATGATAGAGCATGACGATGTATGTTTCCCTTATGTTTTGAGCATGACGATGTATGTTTTCTTTATGGTTTTTGAGCGTGATGTTTGTGTGTGCTTGATGAGGGCTACTTACGGAGTATATTTTATATACTCACCCCCCCCCCTCTCTACAATTGTTGTTTTCAGGTGGAGAGTTCATTGGCGACCATGGCGATGGCGTAAAGGAGACATGACGGAAGAGGACCATAGGCTGCGTAGTGATATTTGCTTAGTTTAGGGTTATGTGGTTTTTGCATGATTGTTTGGCAATAAACTTTTGTTTCAAGTGAATTGAGGGGAGATCCCACCTAATGTTTAAACTTGACTCGGAATAAGTGTTTCTTTTATTTTCTTCCATTCATTGAAAGCGTTTAGTTGTAATAATGGATGTTGTCTGGTGGTGTTGTCCCGGGGGACGACGCTTGGATGATAGTTTATAGAATTGATGTTTTATTTTTGTTATAGTCTAATGTATCGAATTGAGTTGGAACGATGTTTCTATAACTTGTTCACAGGGAGTTGTCTATTTCAAATTTAGAAAATAATATTTGATAGGGGATAATGAATGACGTTACCTAGAATAGCGTAAAATGTTCCGGGGCGTTACAGACTCCCTTCCTTCAAAAACTTTCGTCCCCGAAAGTTAATTGATCACACAGTTCAGGGTATCTCGCCTTGATATCGTCCTCCCGTTCCCAAGTAGCCTCTTCCACTTGGTGGTTTCTCCACAAAACCTTAACCAAGCGAATCGTCCGTTTCCTTAACAACTTGGTTTCTCTTGCCAAAATTTTGACAGGTGCCTCTTCGTAGCACAAGGACTCATCTAGTTGTAATGGTTCAGGATCCAAAACGTGCGAAGGGTCATGAATGTACTTCCTCGGCATAGACACGTGAAACACATTGTGAACCGCTGCCAACGATGGTGGCAAGGCCAACCTATACGCGACTGGGCCGATACATTCCAAAATCTCAAAAGGCTCAATGAACCTTGCATTGAGTTTTCCTTTCTTCCCGAAACGTAAAATTCCCTTCACGGGTGCCACACGAAGAAACACCCGCTCACCAACCACAAACTCGAGTTCCTTACGCCTGATGTCTGCATAACTCTTCTGACGGCTCTGAGCAATTTGCATCCTTCCCCTGATCTTCTGGATGGCACTGATAGTCACCTGCACCAACTCCGGTCCCAAGAGGGTTCTTTCTCTGACTTCGTCCCAATTTACCGGGGACCGACACTTCTTACCGTAAAGTGCCTCGTACGGAGCTGACCAATGGCGTAAAGGAAACATGACAGAAGAGGACCATAGGCTGCGTAGTGATATTTGCTTAGTTTAGGGTTATGTGGTTTTTGCATGATTGTTTGGCAATAAACTTTTGTTTCAAGTGAATTGAGGGGAGATCCCACCTAATGTTTAAACTTGACTCGGAATAAGTGTTTCTTTTACTTTCTTCCATTCATTGAAAGCGTTTAGTTGTAATAATGGATGTTGTCTGGTGGTGTTGTCCCGGGGGACGCTTGGATGATAGTTTATAGAATTGATGTTTCATTTTTGTTATAGTCTGATGTATCGAATTGAGTTGGAATTATGTTTCTATAACTTGTTCACATGGAGTTGTCTATTTCGAATTTAGAAAATAATATTTGACAGGGGATAATGAATGACGTTACCTAGAATAACGTAAAATTTTCCGGGGCGTTACACTGTAACTCTCATCTATTTATGTTTTAGTAACTCGCATATATTTATGTTGATTTAATAGAGGTGTTTTTATTATTTCATCTTACTGATTTTGTTTGGTCAACATTATTGGTTTGCTATGCTCACTTGAGGCTTGAGAAAGTCCTTGTGTTGCATGTTTGCCTCTATTTGCGTAAGATTTCTCTCTTTGAAGTAGAATGGTGAGTGCTTAGGGATGAGACTCACCCTTTCGTGCCTATAAACTGTTCGTATTGCTTGTTTAGTCTACAACAGAAGTTGAGGTTAAACATGTTTGGGTATCTCAGGAGAAAGCCATGTCGGTTTGGGCATTCAGCATTTTGAGTTTACTAGAGCATAGCTAGACGTGAGTGAGAGCATTAGAATGATTCCCCCTCGATTTACCTTTATTTCACATTTATTTCACATTTTCTATTTGTTTTCCGTTTTCGGATGCTCCAAGGTAGAATTGCAGAATATTTATGTTCTTGTTCATTTTTCTGTTTTTATCATTTACTATTACAACATCCAGATCACTCTAAACCAATTATTTTTATTTTACTTTTTGGTATTCTTATTTATTATTTCAAGTAAAACTGTAATCCCTGTGGAGACAACCTTGTTTATATACTACAATTGATTATTTAGTGTATACTTGCACTAATTTTCCTTTAGTTGTGAGGAACCGAACAAATAGTTTGGAGGACATTCTATTTATAAGATATACGACTGTTAAAAAAAGCATTGTTTCCACAATATGCTATGTTTTCGCTCGACCATTCCATTTTGTTGAGGAGTGCATGGACAAGACAATTGATGTTTAATTTCATGTTGTTCCAGATGAGTTTTGAAGGTCGTGGATTGAAACTCCCATCCTCCATCACTTTGAAAGATCTTAATGTGCCTGTCAAACTAACTTTCTACAAGTTTTTGGAACCTTTGAAAGCTTTGTAAGAAGTTAGAGTTTTTTTTCTCAAAGGATAAAGCCAAGTGAATCTAGAATAGTCATGGATAAAGCTAACATAATATTTAAAATGTTGACAAGATATAACTGGCGCTGGCCCCAAAGATCATAGTAGATTTTGTGCAAATGAACACTACTTATTTGTTTATTTGAGTTGAAATGTAAATGAGAGCTTCTACTCAATTGACAGTTTACACATATTGTCTAGATATATCTATAAGATAGAGAGTTGCACAAATATTTTAGAGCTTGATCGTTAAGATGCCCCATTCTTTTATGCCAAATTGAGTATGAAGCCTTTGTTGAAGCAAAAAATGCAGCAAGTAGTTGGTATTCCTCTAAGGCATATAGTCCTTCAAGTTTATTCCCCGTTACAAATGTTTGTTTCAAGGCATTCTTAACAATAAAGCTGTCAGCAGTAAACACAATATTACAATTATTATCATGAGTAAGTTTACTAATTGAGATCAAGTTCTTTTTCATGCTAGTAATAATTAGGACATTCTTCAAATCAAGGCTTCCATGACCGTGTTGAGTTTACCATTTCCAAATGAGATATTTTTAGAGCTTGTCCATCCCAACATAATAGTTTTTCTTTACCTTTATAGATGCTTTGGTTATTAAGCTTACTAGGATTGGTCAAAATATGATAGGTGGCTTCTGTTGGGATAAACACTTAATTTTATAGACCAATTATCCCCTCTTGTGTGAACCTAATAGAAATAGCAAGTAAAAATAATAATTCAAACAAACACGTGACACAAGCAATTTTAACATGGAAAAACCCCCTCAATGTGAGGAGTAAAAAAACAACGGACCGAAGTCAAAATCTCCACTATAATCAATAATGGGCTACACCAAGTTTTGCCTAGCAACAATTAGAGGAATACAAAAATAATATCTCGAGACAATAAATCTCGGCAAACAAGGGAATAAACAGGGGGAAAAATTAGAAAGATCTCAGTTAAAAAGTGACACCAACTACCCACTATATCTGACTGTAGCCAGCTCCAAAACAAGTCTCCACCGTCCCGATTGAAGACCCTCGTGTTGTGAACACGCTGTAAAAATTTAACCTCTGTCGGACCATGGATCGACCTCCGATCGTGCAAAAAAGTTACTGTATGGAAGGTTTTTACTATATATATAACCCTAAAACACTAATGGCCAATATCGGCATTAAAGTTGGGCTGTCACACATGTGAAAATACTCAACAAATCTCCCCCTTTTCACTGTGCGAAGCAAATTATCATCCCAGCAACGGAACAACAAAACTCAAGCTTTTCTCTTGGTATATTCTTTGTCAACATATCAGATCCATTACGATCAGTATGTATCTTCTCAAGTTCAAACAGTCCATCATTGAGAGCATCTCTCATCCAGTGATACCTCACATCAGTATGTTTCGTTCTCGAATGAAATGTCGAATTCTTACCAAGATGAATAGCACTCTAATTATCGCTGAATATCACAGATTGTTGTTGCTTGAAGCCGAGCTCCTGTATAAATCGCTTCATCCACAACATCTCCTTGCACGCCTCTGCTGCTACAATATATTATGCCTTAGTTGTAGAAAGTGTAACACACTTCTGTAATCTCAACTGCCATGACATTGCACCACCTACAAATGTCATCAAATAGCAGGAAGTAGACTTTTGGTTATTTAAATCTCTTGCCATATCTGAATCAGTGTAACCAGCAAGCACTAGTTTTCCACTTCCAAAAGTGAGCTTCAAACTGGAAGTACCCCACAAATATCTCATGATCCACTTTATTGTCTCTCAATGTTGTTTTCCCAGATTGGACATGAACTGACTAACAACACCAAGAACATAGGCAATATCTGGTTTAGTACATACCATGACGTACATCAAACTCCCAACTACTGAAGCATATGGAACTCTACTCATCTCCTCATTCTCTTTATCTGTAGAAGAACTCTGCTTGCTACTCAGTTTAAAGTGATTGGATACAAGAGAACTTATTGCTTTAGTCTTGCTCATCTGGAATCTTTCAAGCAGCTTCTATATGTAATGCTCCTGAGACATATACAATTTCTTGGATGCTCTGTCTCGTGCTATACGAATTCCAAGAATCTTCTTCGCTGGCCCCAAATCCTTCATGGCAAAGGATTTGCTTAACTGTTTCTTCACTTGTCAATTCTTGAAATATTCCTGCCAATAATCGAGATATCATCAATATAAAGCAACAGTACAATAAAGTCATTATCAGAAAACTTCTACACAAATATGCAATGATCGGAAGTAGTCTTTTTGAAGCCTTACTCCCCCATTACTGACTCAAACTTCTTTTACCACTGTCTCGGTTCCTGTTTCAACCTATAAAGACTTTTGTTCAATCTGCACACAAGATTCTCCCTGCCTTTCTCTTTAAATCTCTATGGCTGTTCCATATAAATTTCTTTATCAAAATCACCATACAAAAATGCAGTCTTTACATTCATCTGCTCAACCTCCACGTCAAGGCTCGTTGCCAAACCCATAACTACATGCATAGAAGACATCTTCACAACAGATGCAAAAATTTCATTAAAGTCAACACCTTTCTTCTGACAAAACCCTTTGACAACTAGTCTCGCGTTCTAACGTGGTCGAGAGGTGCGTTCTTTGTGTTTCACGCAATAAACCAACTTATTTTTCAGTGCGGTTTTCCCTTTAGGCAACTTGACAAGGTCAAAAGTGTGGTTTTCATGCAATGATTTCATTTCATCTTTCATTGCATCAATCCATTCTCTTGTGTGCTCATCTTCCATGGCCTTCTCATAACTCTTAAGTTCTCT